GCTGCCACAAACGATTATTTTGATAGTCAACTAGTCAGATCATCATCCATTAGACATAAATTGTGCAGCTGATCACACCCACCATGCATCTGCTCTTATCATTAGCTGACAGCGTGAAGTGTTTAAGGTGCTAACTAACAATAAAGAGCAGATGATAGTTTATTAAACTTTTAATAAAAGATTGTCTCGCTGGGGTTTAATAAACTCGGCCGTCTGCTCCTTGCTATCTAAAATATAACAGGACACTGGAGTAAACTCTCGGCCGTCTCACACTTCTGTTTAATCAGTTTTCTGTTTGACATTTATTGAGCTGTGTGAAAACAAAGGAGGAACCCACCCGATGGATTAATAAAGTTTTATTTAATCTAATCTAATCTAATAACTTTAATCTCAGCCAAACCGATTCACTCACAAATAAAACACTGAAAAAAGCCCAACAATAACATTTTTAGGTTGTCTACGTGACTTATATATCATGTTTAACCTAAGTAGCGAAAGACTGCGGTGATCTGAAAATGATGTGCCGGGAGTTAAAAGTTTATTTTGTGACCCAGAAAGAGTAATAAGTGTAATATTAAAGCTAAGCAGCGGCCGACATTGTTGGAAACTGGAATTGGCTGAGCCGCGCTATGAATCCTGGGATAGGTTGGGCCACGACGGTTTTACACCAGATCCATCCTTCAAATCTAGGGAAAAGGAGGACGCATTTGGAGCAGTCTTTGAATTTGGACAGTCTTCGTCACGTCGCTGTAACGTAATCAGCCTACAAATGCGGCCTCCGAAGGATGCGGCCCCTGAATTTAATGCGACATGACCATCAAACAGCAGTCGCTTTCTAAAACATCGGATATGTATCAGATTCAGTACCACATACGAAAGTGACCCAGGTCGGATTTGAAAATATTGGATTTGTGCCGTTCACACTGTCAGACCATGATCGGATATGGGTCGCAGAGGGTCAGAAAAGCCGTATTTGATGCACTTTCGCCTGCAGTGTGAACGTAGCCTAAGACTGAAATATTAGAGCAACATGAAGAGTTAAACTCAGACTGTAACACAGCTGCTGCTGACAGAGCAGCTGTGTGTGTGTGTGTGTGTGTGTGTGTAGGCGCGTTTCAAACACTTTGCTGCGTCAGACTGGAAACTGTCCATGTCCTGAGAGCTGTGTGAGCAGCCTGATCGATCAGAGAACCTGATGATCTTCTGAGTGTTTCATTAGATTAAAATTTGTATTTCCGCTCCAGCCTCTGCAAAGTTTTAGCCCACCTGGTGATTACACTACCTGCTGGGTTGATGAGGTCAGCAGGTACACACAGGTGTAGTGTTCTTATAGAGCGGCACAACTATGTTCAACCAGCAGGACAAAATAAAGAATAAAGGTGAGTCTAAGAATCAGCGGTAAAGGTAACGATCCTCCATCAGGAGAATTTGTCAGGGTACACTTTGTAAGGCCTGATCAATCAGGTGATCAGTCAGGTAAACAACCTGCTGTAGGTAGGAAAAAGAAACATACTTAAAGGTGAGACGTACCTGTGCAGCGGTCTAAGCGTTCTCAGGACCTGTTCCACCCCGTTACCTGAACCTCATCTATCTATCCATCAGCTGTCAAACACACCCGAGATGCTCACCTGCTCCAGCTGTTCTCTCACAATTGCACAGGTAAGTTCACCTGTGTGTGAACCAGGTGATTCTGACGTTAAACGGGCGCTCAGGACCGTCTCATTAAAGGGTTAACAGCTCAATCAGCGTTACTAACGGACATGTGAACACACAGTTGTAGCGCTTTCGGGTTACCATTAGCATTAGCATGAAAACAACCACGGATCGCTGACCCGCGCAGACAGCAGCGGCCGGAGCTCGGCCACACACCGGGACACGCTGCGCAGCGTCCGCGGGGCTCAAGGCTCCTGGAGCCGCTTACCGACGCGGTGTCTTTGGCGGAGAAATCCAGGAACTCCGAGCATAGAGCGGACGGATCTCTGTCAGCCTCGGTCGCCGCCATCTTTCCTCCCTCTGCTCGGTGCTGGAGCAGGAAGAACCTGGAACTGGAAATGACCAGAATGGTGGGCGTGGCCAGTGTTGTTTTTTCCGGTGTTAGTTTTTAGAGACTTGGAGCTTTTTATTGTCATTGTGCAGTTTCTTGCACAGCGAAATTGGGTAGCTGAACCACAAAGGTGCTAAAGTAAGAAGAAGAGAAACCAATATACAACGAAGGCGGAAAATAAATAAATAAATAGAATAAAATAAAATAAAAAACAGTGTATATGTATACATATGTGAGTAGAATAGAATAGAATAGAATAATCCTTTAATTGTCCCACAAGGGGAAATTTGGTTGTAAGCCAGAAAGACACATATACAAACAAACAGTACACAGGACACAGAACAGAAACATACACAATTTTTCTTACATATTTACATTAAGGACAATGGTTACTATAAACAGAGAGTACTGTACAGTTATTAAATTAAATAAAAATAATTACAGGTAAGAGGCAAACCAGGTTGTAGTGCGAATCGGTTGATTAACTTATTGCAGTTACAGCGCAGATGTAAACATCTGTGTTTGTTGGGAGTAGTTCAGATTGTACAGTCTGACAGCTGCAGGGAGGAAGGACCTGCAGAAACGCTCCTTCATGCATCGAGGATGCAGCAGTCTGTCACTGAAGCAGCTCTGCAGCAACATCTACATGCATGGGGTGGGAGACTCTGTCCATCAGAGATGTTATTTTGTCCAGAGTCCTTCTGTCTCCCACCACCTGCACTGGTTTTAACTCGCAGATTAAAAGAACACAAACGTTTAGCTCCTGGGCACAAGTTCAGTTTAATAAGAACAAAATGTATTAATAACAATAGTAATAATACAACATTTTATGATTGTTTTAGTGTATTATATCGTCACCTCGTAGTATCGTTAGTGTGGTGTGTCAGTTATTCTGTTTTGGTCCATTTTCATCACAAGTGAATAAAAATGGATCCAGACAGGCCAATTATTGTGATGACAATCAACAGATCAAATACAGATCAATATGAATGTATAAACCCAGGGCCTCTCTAATAATCAGTGATGGGAATAACTGTGTTACAATTAACGGCGTTACTAACGGCGTTACTTTTTTCAGTAACGAGTAATCTATCTAGTTATCTATCTACTTAGCACTTTTAATCCTTATTCTTATTTTTATTTTCATGTCTAGTTAAGAGTTATATGATGACAGTATGTTTGCACTAAGTACCGCAGCAATTTCCTAATGTTGTAAACCTGATCAACATTTGGCAATAAAACCCTTTCTGATTCTGATCTAACTAATTACTATTCCTATCGTTACAACGCTGTTACAGTTACTAACAAGAAAATGCGGTCCATTACTATTTTTCAACAAACAGATGGTTGAAGCTGTGTTCAGCTTACCGCATCTTATATCAGTTGCGGGAGGAGCCAAGATGGCGACCTGTGTGGACACCTCTCTGTAAGCTCGTGAATTTCTGATGAGTACCTAACGTTTTAAATGATCTAAACGGACTCAGATTATTAGAAGTGACTCATTGCACTCGCGTTTTGCGCACGTACAGGACATCTTTACAACATAAAATCAGGCCGAACTGATTTCTTTTTTTTCCCTGCCGAATTCCAACACGGTGAAGTGTTAGCTTGTATAGAAACATTTAGCTAATAGCCATGGGATAAGCTTGCAAAATGGCCAAAAAAGAGGCAAGAAGAAAGGAAAGACTGATAATGGACTTGGAGCCAGATAAAACCTTTGCAGGCTTATGCAAACCTCTCCCTCAGACCCCTCTTTTTTTCTTTTGCTCTTGCTCTTGACAAAGGTGGTCACACTTTTCTCCTCCTCCTCCTCTCCCTTAGCTTCCCTGCTTAGCCTCTTATGTCCTTGTCTAGTCTCGTGTTTTTTGTATTACTTTTCCCTGGAACACTCTCTCACAGTCTGTTCTCTACAACCTAAAAGAGGAATTATGGATCGGATCAACTAGTCTCTGAATGCAATCGACACCCCTTTCTCAACGAGAAGTCTGGGCTTGGGTGAGCCTGAGTGCTGAAGATATCTACCTATTCTGAACCATGGTAACAGGGTTCTGGCGGATCGGAGCTGGCTTGGCCCTGACTTATCGAAGAATTAAGGAAGCGGAACCGGCTGTTCAAACCCCCACAAGGCTGCCTGCTGGGACTGAAACGATGGGAGAGGCGTGAGTTTCTCAAAATGGGCTCATTGAGTCGGCACGGAGAAGATCTTGGAGAGGCTACGGCTGCTGTGAATACTCAGAATAAGATCTCTGACTGCAGACTGGATACATCTCGGGGAGGCACACTGCCGTGAGTTCTCAGAATCGGCTCCTTGAGCACAAGAAATGACAACATCACAGAACGCAAGTATGGCGAAGCTCGCGGCTCTCCAACGGGAGATTGAGAGACCAGTGTTGGACTGTAGAACTGCTTTGACATTCATATGAGCTGTTCGCACTAAAGTAAAAACCACCATCACTTCATGTGGAGACCCTCTCTGCGCCAGCTGCGGTCTCAAGGCTGGAGCTGAACAACAACACCCTGATAACGACTGTGTTTAGTCTGTTCCTTCCCATTCCATGCAAGGCCACCTGGGTT